ATTCTATTATTTTTTTATATTAAATTTGTCAAAAATTATTTTAACTTCTTTTAACAATAACTCTACTCTAACAATTTCTTTATACAAACTCCAATTGGGGCAAACAAACCCTTTCATGATTTAGTGGCTTTTGATTGTTTGGTTGAAAACTTGAAAAGTGCATATGTTGTCACACACACAGTATTTTGATTGAAAATTGTTGAGATTGGTCATTATATTCTCATATTAAAAATATTAATATTTAATAATATTATGGTTAAATATAAAAATATCCCTCAATTATATATATTTTTATCAAATTGGTATTCAAATTTTCATTTTATCATTTATTTTGATACTTGAGACTAACCCATTAGTTAATTTGCGAACGTTACATTAATATAGAATAAGATGTTGACATGTGTCAAAAAAATGTAATCAATATCACATTATTAATGCTATGTAGGTATTAAAAGAAATTTCAAAAAATTTCAAAAAATCCTAAATAATTCTAAAACTTTTTTTTTTGAAAATCTGAAAAATTTTAAAATTTATAAAAATTACAAAATAGAAATATTTTTAAAAAATTAAGGAAACTTAAATATTTTTAAAAATCTTAAAATTTTAATAAACAAATCAAAAAAATTTTAAATTCTACAAATTCAAAAAAGTGAAATTTTTAATAGAAATAAAATTTTCTTAAAATTAAATAAATACAAAAACATAAAAATATTTAAAATAAAAAATAAAATTTTTTGAAAAAAATCTAAAAATTTTTAAAAAATTATAAAAATTTATTTTTTAATCTTATAGTTTTATTTTTTTTATTTTTGAAATTTCAAAATTTTTTGGATTTTTTTTTTGAAAATTTTAAGTTTTTTTACTTTGTATTTTTCAAAATTTAAAAAAATTTCCAGAATTTTTTAAAAAAATTTATATTTTTTATAATTTCCAATATTTTAAAAAATTTTAGAGTTTGTTAATTTTTAGTTTATAAGTTTTTTTTTTTTATTTTAAGAAAATTTAATTTTTATTAAAAATTTAATTTGTTTGAATTTTTTAATAAAAATTTTTTTTTTGAATTTTTAAAATTATCTTAATTTTATAAATTTAAAATATTTCATATTTTTTAATTTGTTATAATGTTTAAAAAATTTTTAGAATTTTTAAACTTTTAGAATTCCTTTAGAATTTTTTTAGATTTGTTTTGAAATTAAAATTTTTTTTTTTAAATTTCAGAATTTTTTTAATAAATTTTTTATATTGATGTGGCATTGATGATGTTTGTCTAAGATACTACGTTAGCATCACATTAAATGTTTATATCACGTCAACAATAAAATTTTAAGAGCGTTACTCTAAATACTAATGTGATAATGGAATAAAAATATGATAATGAAATAAAAGTTAAAATATCAATATAATAATTTTATTTTTTAAAATATAAAATTGATAAAAAAAATGCACTTCAGAGGTTATTTTTATATTTAACCTGTAATATTTTGCTCATTGCCTGTAAAATTTAAATCATTTCACTTATGTGCTGACCTTTTATACTTTCGTTTAATTTTTTTTATGTTTGAGATATTGAATTTTAAATTTTAAAATTTAATATTTTATTGATAGATTATTGATATATTGACATATATATATACATGATAAATATAAAATTTTTATTGAATTTTCTTTCTTAATTTGATGATTTTCTTAAAAATTTCAAAGAAATTTGGAGTTTGGATTTTTTTTTAATTAGATTCTGACAGTCCAATAATATATGTACAAAGCAATAATCTGGTGCGCTGATGCTATTTTGGATGTGTGTATTCATCGTTTCGAGAGAAGGAATCAACGGTGCATATTTAATGTAGGAAGTATAATTCGAAACGCAAATTTGGATGCTTGAAACCGACTTGACTTGCATCGCCTGGGTGCCACGTAAGCTACGTTTGTCTTTTCGATTTTTGATGATGATTTTTCTTCTTTCCTTCTTTCGTTTCTAATATTACCACTTGATCTTTCTTTTAAGAGAAATTATTTGAGATATTGGTAGTAAAATTTTTTTAATTTTATAATTAAAGTTATGATAATTATACTTATTTTATTTTTATTTTTTTTAATATATAAAAACAAATTTTATAATCTTAATTTTATTTATGAAATTAAAAAATTCATTATCAGTATATTTTATAATTTCTTTATTTTAATGCATCAATAGAAAATTTTTTTCATAATTTATGTAAAAAAATTATAAAAAGAAAAAAAAATGCTCCACCATCATTTAAATAAGGTAATTATGATGTAATGAACTTTTAGTTTAGTGATAAAAAATAGATTTTAGAATTTTGAAATTTTAAAATTAAGTTTGATTTGTTTAATTATATTATAGTTTGTTAATTAATTATTTAGTTATTATAATTTAATTATAATATAGTAATTAATTATTTAATAAATTATATAAATATAATATTTAATTATGATGACAACTTAAAAAAAAAAAGTAATTAGGAGCCTTTATTGATAAATAAAATATTAAACAATTTCAATAGTTTTGTTTGGTGTTGAAGGTGACTCTTTCCCAAAAGGAAAAGTTTTAAATTATATATCTTCTTTTACTTGGTAAACAAAAAGATTGCATTGTTTTTTGAACAAAAAAAATAGGTTAAAATGTTTGCATTGTTTTTGTAAAAAAAAAAAAAGGTTTACATTTTGGCATAATATAAGAGATTGTTTTAGGCATCCGAGATATAATAGTTTGTTTTAGGTAAAAGCAAATATTTTCTTGCTCACTTGTGATTTATCAACATTGAGTTAGATTTTTTTTTCATTTAGGTGATTATAATTCATAGTTTTAAGTATCAAAAAGAAAAAATTATCTTAGTTTAAAGTTGAATATTCAATTTGATTTAAAATGAAGGTTAAGAAAAATACTATAGTATTATTTGCATATTGAAAATTAGAAATAATCTATATTATTTATATTAGTAGATTTTAATATTAAAAAAATAATATTATAAAATATTAATATGGCATATTACAAAGATAAGAAATACTAAAAGATAAAATATAACTTAAGACATCTCAAAAAATTAAGAATTATAAGCACTCAATTAGAGACATACAATCCACTATTTTTGGAATATACTTGCTTGGACTAGGAAAAAGTAATGTAGTAGAGTTTTGGTTTCAAGTAATTTTAATGTGGTTTAACTATAATAATAAAATATTAAAAATTTTAAACTCAAATTTTAATTAAATTGATTTATATAATTATTCTTAAAACGTGACATTTAATTTATCTGAAATTTAAATTTTAGTATTTACAATCATTTTTTAAACCAAATTATAGTTTCCTTTGTAAAAAAATATTAATAAAATTTATTTTAAATATTTCAATTAGATAAATATGAACTTTTATTTATAAATATGATTTCAAATGAAATTTCGTAACCTTAATAATTTAAAATATGGTATAGCAATATGATACGAATACGATATAAAAAAAATATAAAAGTGACTCAGTTTAAATTTTAATAATAATTTTATATGTGTTTAATAAAATCAAAAAATATATTTCATATTTCATATTAATATTAATTATGACATGTAATTTTTATGTAAAATATTGTATGAATATATGAATTTCAATATTTTATATGATATAAATATATGAATCGTGAAATTTAAAATTTTATAGCTATGATTAAATTTGATAGTGAGAATTGACAAGAAAAATCTAAAAGTGCATTTAAATAAAAAATATTTTAAAATAAATTTTTTTTATTTGATAAAATAAAAATTAAATTATAAAAAAATTTTAAATTTGAAAGAGGGATATTAGATGACTCAACTTCCTTTTTAAAAAGGTGGATTTTTAAAAATAATATGTCAACATTTATATTATTTCATTTTTTTACATAATTTTCACCTTTTCAACTCTAATTATAATAACTCATTTAAAATTTTTTTTTTCATGCTATTAATAATATTTATGCATTTTTACATTTCTAATGACACTCATATTACATATTTTTTTCAATATTTTTTTATTATATCTCTAACATCACGTAATTATTAGAATATATTCAAATCATATTTATCTCTAATATCATTACGAGAAAACTAAATTTGAATGTTTCTCTTGATATTCCCTTTTTCTAGATATTTTTTATTTCGTTCTTTAGCATATTAATGGTGACATGTCATCAACTTTTCCTAAATTGAGCTTAAAAGTTAAAGCCATTTGTCGTTTTTAAAGACCGTGTCTGGCGTGATTTGATTAACTTCGGAATTAACGAAAAAAAAACCCACTTTACAAACACTTAAATCAAAATCTCAAAGCCATTTGCTTTGACAATTGGTCTGGTTCTTTTTTTTTTTTTTCTCACCAAAATCTCTGTACCTGACTAACTGAAAAAAACAAGTTAATCTTGGATTTTAGGGTTTGTAGGTTCGATGCATCGATAAGAGAGTCCTTAAGGATGAGAAGTAGTAGAAGCAGAGTGGAAGAAAAGAGGACTACAATTTATTCAACATTACATTCTTTTTGTGTAAAAGTGATTTTATACTATTATAAAAATATTTTTATTGTTAATTTTAAGCATAAATAAAGATATTTATTTAATAAAATTTTTATTGCTTATTTATATATATATGCTTTATAACCAATTAAAAGCTTTAGAATTTTAATTTGAAAACAAAAAAAAAATTGTTACAAAAATAAATAAAATAATAAATGTTTTTATTTTTTTATAATTAGTTGAAGCTAGATTTGATGGTTGACAATTTATATATCAATGTCATATAAAATATTAAATTATATATTTATATTTTATTTTATACAAAAATTATGTATATGTGTAAATATAAAAATATAAAATAATTTTTTTAATTTTATTAAATTTATATATAATTATTATTAAATTATTTTATTTTTATATCAATTATTTGAATTATATTTATAATATAATATAATATATTTTAAATTATCAAATTTAATTATAACGAAATGCAGATAGCAGAATAATCATATTAAAATCGATGGTGAAAACCGTAAGACATCCCAAATTAGATAAGCAACTACTAATGAGAGAATGATATTTTGATTTATGGAATTCACATTTAAAAAAATCGTAAATAAAAAAGGGGATTTTTTTTTTGCCAAAAGGAAGAATGGAATTAAGGGCAATAATATAATACGAATATCGTAGAGCTGAGTTTGCCCTAGCCTTTCACTTTTCCCTGTGTTGCCCTATATAATGCTACGTCCTCGCCATTTTCCCCGCACCAAAATCCTAACATCTGCCATCTAAAAAACTCCAATCTCAGCTTCTCATCCCAAATAACCAGTCCCTCTTTCTCTTCATCCCATCAAAGGTATGATTCTTCAGTTACCTATTTTATTCTTATTTTCTTGATGAATCCGTTCGATTTAATTTATTATTTTTCTACCGTTTATTTTTATCTTTCATGTATTTGTCCCATAACTAGATTTATGTTTTCTGTTATTGAATCGTTGCAGATCTGTTTTTGTTTTTTTTGTTTTAGGAGCTTATTTGTTTTGATTTAGCTTTGAATTTGGATTATTGTTGACGATCGGATCGATGTAGTTTTGGTTCTGACCAGAGCGATTATATTCTAAAGTTTCTCTAATTTGTGGATATGTATTTTCGCCTTTAGATTATTACAATGCAGATATCAAATCCTATATATATATATTTTCTTTTAATTTTTCATCATTTAACATTGAATGGAATGGTTAGATTATTTATTACGAGTTTGTAGTTCTTAATAATTATTTATTTTAATTTTTCATTAAATTTACCTCATTTTTTATAATTATTTTCTGTATGACTAGGAGGTTTTAAAATTGGGATTTACATTTTCTTTCTTTTAATTCACTTTTAATTTTTCAAATTTTTTTTTTTCATATTAATGGTTTGGTATCCTTTTACTCTTGATTTTGATAGTATCTTTATAACCTATGTGAGTAAATAACCCGAATTTGGAAGATCTATATTGGAATCTTTAGGCGTTTAAGAAACGGATATTTGTTAATTCTGATGCTTTATAGGCATTTGGAATTTGACATATGTTTATTTTGTATATATTTTTGATGTATATATATGTATTGTTAAAATTGTATCATTATGCTTCAATATTTCATTTTACTATAACATATTAATTTGTTGATTTAGTGTTTTCTTGGCTATTAACCTTTGCCTGGAATATTCTATTATTGTCTTCAGGAAGTTGGCTGTTTGGTCTGCTGTGTCTGCAGTTTGTCAAAGTGGAGGGTGTTACTTTTGAATCTTCTTTTATGTCTGAACGGGCCTCTCTCTTTTTGTCATCAATTGGATTGCTCGGAGAGTACTGTCCCACGCCTAGAAAAAAGAATAGAAGTTCCTCTTCTGAAGTTATCTGCATGCATGTTGAGGCCAATAACACATATTGTCTGGATTTCCATTTTATGCAACCTCTTTCCAGTGCAAGGAAGCTGACTGGTAAAGGATTTCTCACCACAATCGAGAACACCAGCATCTGATCTGTCCTTTAATTAACTCTGTCCCACAGTTTGATCTAGATGGCTTTGCAAAATATTGGTGCTTCAAACAGTGATGATGCCTTTTATAGGTATAAGATGCCCAAAATGATAAGTAAGATTGAAGGGAGGGGAAATGGCATCAAGACTAACGTGATTAACATGGTAGAAATTGCCAAGGCTTTGGCTAGACCTGCTTCTTACACTACAAAATATTTTGGTTGTGAACTGGGAGCCCAATCCAAGTTTGACGAGAAGACTGGAACTTCACTTGTAAATGGGGCCCATGACACTGCCAAGCTTGCAGGGCTTCTTGAGAACTTCATTAAGAAGTATGTTCAGTGCTATGGTTGTGGGAACCCTGAAACTGAGATAATTATTACCAAGACACAGATGATTACCCTGAAATGTGCTGCATGTGGGTTTGTTTCTGATGTTGACATGAGGGATAAGCTTACAACTTTCATTCTTAAGAACCCACCTGAGGCGAAGAAGTCATCAAAAGACAAGAAGGCGATGAGGAGGGCTGAAAAGGAAAGACTCAAGGAGGGTGAGGCTGCTGATGAAGAGCTGAAGAAGATTAAAAAAGAGGTAAAGAAGAAAGGTTCCTCTACTACTTCAAAGGTTGCTGCCTCCAAAGGTGCAGTAACCAAGAAGAAAAGCAGACATTCTGATGAGGATCACTCCCCTGCACACAGTCAGGCTGATGAGAATGAACAGGTGGCCAGTGATAATGATGATGTCCAGTGGCAAACGGATACTTCACTGGAAGCTGCTCAACAACGTATCCAAGAGCAGTTGAGTGCTGTTACTGCAGATATGGTTATGCTTTCTACCAATGAAGAGAAGAAAAAGTCAGTGAGGAAGTCTCCGGAGTGTGAGGTTAAGGAACATGAGAATGGTATCAGTGCCCATGAGAAACTTGTTGATGAGATAAAGGAATACCTCAAGAAGGGGTGCTCTGCAACTCAGCTTAAATCCTTCCTAGGTTCACTCTCTGGAACCTCCCAAGAAGTCATGGATGCCCTTTTTACAGCATTCTTTCATGATGTTGGGAAGGGGTTTGCAAAGGAAGTAACCAAAAAAAAGAACTACCTGGCAGTGGCAGCCCAAGAAGAGGGAGGGCAAATTGTGCTTCTCCATTCTATTGAGTCTTTTTGTGGCAAGGCAAGCTCCGAGGCAGCAAAGGAGGTGGCTCTGGTTCTTAAAGTGCTGTATGACAATGACATTTTGGAAGAAGAGTTTGTCATGGAGTGGTACCAAAAGGGTATTGCTGGTAGCAATAAGAGTTGTGAGATTTGGAAGAATGTCAAGCCCTTCGTGGAGTGGCTCCAGAATGCCGAGTCCGAGTCAGAAGAGGAGTGATTCTGAAACTCATGGTATAGTTGCATTTATTATGCTTATAGCACAGACGTGCAACTTTTAATACAATAAGTTCCACTAACGTGGCTATAGATTTCAGTATTTGGCAACAGTATAGTTCGTTAAAATAAAGAACAGTGAGCTAGGTCCTACATGCTCTCTGTTGTGTTGTGATTACTAGGTTCTTTTGTTGTCTGTTTGAGTCCTGGTTTTATGATATGCTTCATCTGTCTTTGTTTTTGTGTGCTTAAAACAATGAGTTGAATTTAGTTTGCTACTTTGAATTTTTTGCGTTTCTTTTGTTTTCTTCCAAGTTTTAATGCTAATAGAATGTCCCAAACGAGATTAACAAGAAAGCTAATATAGGCTGGTCCAATATTTAAGCCTGCATAGGCACTTGCATGATGATAAATGGTGGTAGGGAAAATATAGGGAGGGAATGTTGGTGCAAACATTAATTAAAGATTTTCCGCAATAAGACGAGACCAATGGTTTTTTTTTGTCTGGATGTCTTGATCGTTCGATAATTATTTTAGATTTGGATTAATTTAAAATTAAGTTGGATTAAATTTCATAAAGAGAATAAATTCTTTTGAATTTATTTATTTTTTATTCATAAAATTTGAAATCAAAATTTTACTTTAAAAAAATCAAATTTTTTGTTACTCAGATTAACATGCATCGGTGATGAGACGAATGGTTATTGTAAGATAAAAGAATAAAATTGCTTTTTTTACTATAAGATTACTAAATTACAAAATTACTACAAATTTACTACAATAACAATTTGACGGTCCAGATTATGACCATATTGTCAGTTTTGTTTTTGGTATATATAACTTATTTTAATACTACCGATTACGGAAAAAAAAAAGTCGGCGCACAGTAAATGTAAATCGCAAGAGCAGAGCATCCGAATCGGGTCGTTCAGTCGGATTGCTCTCTCTCTTTCTCTAGGCGTACAACGAAACAAGAAATCACCTGCCCGGTTTATTCTTCTCTCCGGAAGTCTCTCTTAGCGGCATTCGTCACATCAATTTCCGCATTTCTCTCTCCCAACCCAAACCAGAACAGACTCACTGTCTCACTCCTACGTTCGAAACAAACAGTGCTTTCATGTTGACTTCCTTAAAAATTCCCAACCATCTGATTTATTGACTTAATAACCCCCCGAATCATCATCAAAGGCGTTTTCGTACTTTACCCCAAAGACAGTTCATGTTTATTTCGCGTTAGAATTCTAGTTACCTGTTAATACCACAACTTAATTAACATTACTAGATGAAGGCGATTGAAGTCCACGCTCCGAAAAACTGAGCCTGACAACAGTGACGTAGAGGCGGTTATGTTGGTCGTGGGCTAAAACTGTAAATTTCTAACCAGTCAAATATGGCTTTTTTGGCTTTTTCTCTCCTTTTTCTCCTAATGCCAACACAATTTGGCTTCGTGCCAGGTTCTCAACGGAACTCTCAATTTCCTTTCACACTCACCTCAGACACACCTAAAAACACTATAAAAACAGAAAACAAAGTCAGAAAGACTCAGACTATGCCCTTTTTCAACATGCCCTGATCTTTTTTTTTTCTTGTCCCTTTTGAATTTCCTCTTCCTTTTCTCAAAACCCTAAGCGGGCCAATGCCTCCCCCACAGCCTCCTACGCGACCGGAGCTCTGCCACGTCGATTCCAGGATCTGGCAAGCTTGCGCCGGCTCTTCCGTTCAAATCCCCACCGTTAATTCTAGGGTTTACTACTTTCCTCAAGGCCACATGGAACAGGCCTGCGGTTCCACTCAGTTACTCCCTTCTCTCCTACTCTCTAGACCTCTTATTCCTTGCATTATCTCCGAAGTTCATTGCCTCGCCGATGCAAAAACCGACGAAGCCTTCGCTAAACTCATCCTCGTCCCTGTCGAACCTTCTAGACTTCCCAATCAATTTCTAGATATCAACGGTGAAGATGAAGGTTCTGATAAGGTCGTGTCGTTTGCGAAGATTTTAACGCCGTCCGATGCCAACAATGGCGGTGGCTTCTCCGTCCCGCGGTTTTGCGCTGACTCTATTTTCCCGCCTCTTGACTACAATGCTGAGCCCCCGGTTCAGACTCTTTCGATCACCGACGTCCGCGGCGGCGTCTGGGAGTTTCGCCACATTTACCGAGGAACGCCACGTCGGCATCTGCTCACCACAGGATGGAGCAAGTTCGTTAATCAAAAGAAGCTCATCGCTGGCGATTCTGTTGTCTTCATGAGGGACTGTAATGGGAAAATGTTTATTGGAGTCCGGCGAGCGATGAAGCGAGGAGAAGCCCGCGGGTATTCTGGGAGGTGGAGAGAGCCAAATGATGGAGGAGCAATGAAAGGGGAAGGAAGGGGGAGGATGACGTTGGAAGCGGTCGCAGAATCGGCGGAGAGGGCGGCGAGTGGATTGCCATTCGAGGTTGTGTACTATCCTCGGGACGGTTGGGCTGATTTCGTGGTGAGGGCGCAGTTGGTGGAGGCTGGACTAAATACATTCTGGGCTGAAGGGACAAGAGTGAAGATGGCGGTTGAGACGGAGGATTCGTCACGAATGACGTGGTTGCAAGGGACTGTTATGTCTGCTGCTGTAGCGGATTCTGGCCCCTGGATTGGCTCTCCTTGGCGAATGCTTCAGGTAAAAATGCTTCGGGCTCAATTGTTTGAATTGTGGTTATTCATTGTGATCATATTGAAAGTGGTTTACTATTGACTTCAATGTTAACAACTTTATCCCTATTAATCAAGAAGTACGTACTAATTTTCAACATTATTAAATTAGGTGCATTTAAAAGTGAATCAGTGCGAAATGCTTATACATAATAAGTTCTGATGATAGACTGATAGATTGGAGGAATTGAGGTTGAAATGAGATTTCACAATTGTAGCAGTTGGCTGCATTTTACTTTCGTGTATATCTATTTTTGCATATTTTCCCCTAAAATCAGTGCCCTTTATTAGGCTTAAAATCCTCTAACATTTTAATGAGATTGGAGTAACAGAAAGTGGAAGATGTCAAAGTGAAACAAATCATGGAGTTACTCTCCCTGGGAGGTCGGCCAAGGTCGTGCAGTTCAGATTATGGATTTGTAGGATTTCTTTAGAATTTGATTTAGATTAAGAATGATTTTGCACCATTTTTTATTCTTTTCTTCTAGCCTGTGTTTGGATTTTTAGTGGCTTGTTAAATTATTGTTCCTCATTCCAAGCAATATTGGTGTTGTATTTTCTGTCTGTTGCATTTGTAAAATAATCAAAATTCTTATATTGACTTGATATTGATTGTGGGTAAATCTAAAGTCAATTACTTTATATTTGTGAAAATAATAAAGTGCTTATGTGTTCAATTTCGAGCCACTTGACTAACAAGGAAAATGCAGTTTACTCGTGTCAAATTCGAATCCCATCAAATTGGTACATTCCTAAATTTTAAATTTGATGCTTAAGTGAAATATATCTTATGATACTCCTAACTATGTCATTCTATCCTCTTAGTGGAGAATAGTTGACCTTTTGGTGCTTGGTCTAGTTTAATCTGCCCTTTTATCCATGTGTCTATGACTGGTAATTGTGGGAGAATAGTTTCTTCCTTGCTTTATGTTAATTTCTTCTTTCAAAGACAGCATTTTGGGGATTGGGTTTGTGGTTGGATGTGGTTTGTTTAATCTACAATCTACATTTAAGTTTTCAAGATGTATTAAGATGAAGTTTTCATTCATTTTTCTACTTATAGAATTTCTTCCACTTTAAATTTGCTGATTCATGATTTCATTATCTTTGTATCATTAGGTTGCATGGGATGAACCTGAAGTTCTCCAGAATGCAAGCAGAGTGAGCCCATGGCAAGTTGAAATTGTTTCCTCCTCGCCACTTCATTCCTCATTCCCCTTGGCAAAAAGGTTCAAGTTTTCTCAGGATTCTGGACCGACTGATGCAGAGGGAGAAATCTTCTTCCCTACTACAGGGTTGACCAATTCAATAATGGGTTACATAAATCCATCACTGTTGAAATACTATTGTTTTCCTGCTGGCATGCAGGGAGCCAGGCAAAATCATTTTCACTTGCAAAGCAACTCTGTGAGTGAGAATACCCCAATGATGTCCATTGATAATTTCTCTGGCAACTATGTGATGCCCAAGTTGGATAGGATATCCACTGAGCTCAACATTGGCAGTTCACAGTCTGACAACTTGTCACCAGATAGTCAGAGCAGCATGGTTTCCTTTGGCACAGAACTTACTGAAAATGGGGGCTGCAACTCGAGCAAAGTGGGTGTTAGTTCGTTTCAACTGTTTGGCAAGATAATTCATATGAAAGAGCCAATGGTAAGTAGATTTGAGGAGGTTGGTTGCATGGAAGATGATGATGGTAAAAGATATGATGAAGCTGTGAGTCTAAAAAACTCATTAGATCTTTCAATGACTTACAGCTATTCGAAGCTACTTGACAGGCTAGATGTCCAATGCCAAAGAGCCTCAGCTTTCGAAGGGTTTTCCTTGTGAATGAATCTGTGTCCACATCATGAAGATGAGTAACTGTTTAGGTATGGTTTCTCTTATTGGATTTCACAAGTTTATCATGCTACTCTTGCAATTTTATGCTTAAGTGTTATGTTTCTTTTGTCAAAGTAACAGTGATTTTGTTGCTTTTTATAATATATAATTGGTTTTACATGATATACTTTCCTTTTGTGTGGCCTGGGTTTTATAAAGCTTTATCTATTGGGCATCCTGTTCCTCTAGAAATGCTCTATTTTGTGTTATTATGCGCTCTTAGGTTCTTGTCATGCATTTGATATGGTTGGCCATGTTTTAAACTTGTACATTGATGTTTAGAATTATGAAGGTTGTGCAAAAAAGTTGTGATCAATTTTGACTAGACTCATACCTGCATCTTCTCAAAATGAACACTGGAATGCATAACTATTCTTAATACTTGCTGGCCTCTGCTGACTGCCTGTCAAGAATGAGCATCAAAACAAATAATTTCCCAATTTCCAAAGGATGTGTTTGCCATTAAGTATCTTTTAGCAACATTATCAAAACCAGACTTAAGAGTTGAGCCAGGATTTGGTTGAAGGCTTGAAGTGGCTTTGGTTAGAGTCATAAAAGCCAAGTTCTCCAAAAATCACCCCAAATGCTCATGATTTGTGGTACACCGAAAAAGCCTTGGTGGGAAGGATCTGTTCCAAAAAGCATTGTGGTCAGGATTTGAGAAAACCAGTTTATTTTGTGAGCTTTTTTCTGGGGAGAGAATGGTTCCAGAAACTGCCATGAGGGTGCTTAATAAGCAAAGTTGATGATTATTTAAGTCTACTGGTCATCCATTGTGGTCTTCTATCATAGTTCTGGGCTGTTAAACATATATTCTTTACCTAAACATCATTTATTGAATTTGAGCTCCATCAGTTTGTTTTAAGATATTATTATGTAATATTTTGATGCATATCTTTATATCCTTTTCTTGTTCAGTACTGGCTTGAGGTGCTTTTGTTGTCTGTATGACCCTTAGATCACCTATAATGATTTGTTCTGCTTAAGCCTTTTTTTTTTTGTAGGTGATTTAGGCAGGCAGGAAGCTGACACCTAAATGACTTTGTCAGTATTGGCTAAAAATAAATGACTTTGTCAGTAATAGTTTACATTTTAGTTTGTGCTGTTGGAGACTTTGGACTGTTAAAATTGTTGACGTGTATCGCATTGTGTATCGCATTTTATTACATTAGAGAGTTCATTTTGTTTGAGCTTGCATCAAACTCTGGATGATTGGAGCAAATCAGTTGACTTGCTGATATACAAGTTTCATATTTTCTTTGATTTGGTGTTTTGCTAATATGATTTTCGTAGCCTTATATCCTAACCCACATACTTTCTGATAGCAATTTTATTAGGCACTGGTATAAATACGCTTGGCTCTTTGGAGTAAATCTTCAATTTTGTCAATTACAGGTCATCTTATAATTCTTGAAATCAAGGTTTATTCGATTTTACAGATTTATTAAATCTTTATTAAACTGTGAATTTGATGAATGATGATATATCCATCCAAATTTCATTTTCCTTTTATTATTATTATTATTATTATTATTTTTGAGAATGAAATCATCTTTTAGCAACATCTCAAAGTTCAATTTATGTCCATAGTTTGTTTAACATATGTTTAAAATTTTAACAAGTTTAAAAGTTTACTTCGATCAAATCTCTGTATCCAAATATGCCATAATTTTCTTGCAATGGGCCAACATTACAATATGAATGTATATTTTACTTTTTTTGGAAAAAAAAATTCTTCAGGAATCCATAACAAAGCCTATCTAAATTTCCACAATAGTTTTATGCCAATATTATTATATATATGGAGATCAATCTTTCTAGATTAGTGTACCTATAACTGCATCGCACCCATAGAAAACACATTCACCATTAATTACTGGTAAAAAAGATGGATTTGGGACATGGGGAGAAAAATTGTAGCTGTAGATGAGCTGCAAGAACCTATAGCACGTATATGGAATCATATTTTCAGATTCATAAATTCCATGTCACTAGAAATACCAAACATCATCTACATCCATGGCCAACCCATGACTCTTTCACAGTTGGCTTCGGCTTTACCTTTACCTCTCCATCCTACAAAAGTTTAAAGTCCCGTAACTGAAGTTACAAAAATTTACCTGAGCTTTTCCTTCACCCTCTTGCAAAAAGGTTATATAGGTCAAACAAAGAAACAATCAAGAGTACTTTGAAATTTTCAATCCGAGGGGGAAGTTCTCAAAACTGAAACTTAGTTGGGGGAATTTATAAGTAACTGCATTTCATTTTTCTTTTTTATAGTTAAAGTTATTAAAATTAAAATTTTGATTATTAAAATTAAAAAATTCAAAGTTTTATTAATAAATCACGAGTGATCATTGACAACTGCATTTTATTTTCTGGTCCATCCAAATTAGCTAGTAAAATAAGGAGATTTGCAAAGATTTTATTATGTATGAAAAATATTTGCTTTAATAAACAAATCTTGAATTATTTGATCAACCTTTTATTAAAAGGTTATCATAAGAAGGCAAAACTAGTTGTGTTAAAGCAATGGCCATATTTCCTATAATCGTTTTGATTGACGAATTATTGAAAGGATCCCATTAATTCTTTAATTATTTTCTTTATATATAAAAAAAGATTTTTCTTTTTATATTTGAGATTGTTAGAGATTAAATCTTAATTATTAAAATTAAAAATTAAATATTTTACAAACAAATAATGTGATTGTCGGAAAAAAAAAGATTAAATTATTATCTTCTTTTCATTTGAGCAACATGTTAAAAGCATGTTATAATCCAATTCATTTAATTTATTATCTATAAAAGAAAAAAAAAAAAAACTAATATTTAGACAAACCTATTGACTCGGTGTATTTTATAGTATTAGGGTGGGATAATCCAAAATCAAAACTAATATCACACTAATCACGAGCTCTACTTACTCCCACAAAAGTATTAAAGAGATTATATATATATATATATATATATATATATATATATATATAAACAATATGAAAAGAAGAAGTTCTTTTCCCCATAATCATTCAATCTTTCGGGTGAATCTGTTTTTGTTTTCTTTATATAAAACAATAAAAGCACAAAGAGTTGTCCCCAGAAAGTGAGAAAAATGAAGTTATAAAATTTATAACATGAATATTTTACGACACAGTTTTGAATCACGTTTGAATAAACATAAATAAAAATTTATTTAAATTTGATTTGGGAAAAAAATAATATAACAACAACTAATTTTATTTTGATTTCATTTTATAAGTTAATACTTCTTCCGTTTCACTTTCTTTATGTATTTTTGTTTACTTAAATTACTTATTATTTTTTATAATTTTTTAAACTTTTGACAGATCAATAATTTTGTAAAAAAAAAAAAAAAAATTTTATTTGTGATTCACTCTAGCCTTTGCAAGTCCATTTGCCATTCACTTGCAGTCTCTTAGGATATCAACTTTATCAATAAGATTTTTTTTTTTTTTAATACTACACAATGATTTGAGAAGTTACGTAATTGTCAAAGAAAACGGCACACATTTTAAAATTGGAACGGACAGTGTTTTTAATTTTATAGTTCTGTGAATACTAGATGTCGGTGAAAATAAAAAAAATTAAATTTAATAATTTAAAATATAATTAAAAAATAATACGAATAAAAGATATAAAGATAATATCACTTAAAATTTTAAAAAATTTATAAATAAATTTAATAAAATTAAAAAATTATATTTTATATTTTTATGTTAATATAAATTATGACATATAATTTTCATGTAAAATATGATATGAATATAATATTTTATATGATATGATGATATGAATTATCGTATCTAAAAATAATAATAATGAAAATAAAACGCCGCCTTTGTCGGTGCTCATCAGCCATGTTAATTATTTTCAATATCCCAAGATCTAGTAAAATATTTGAATTTCCATAATATAGGCTACCAGTACTATAAAAAGAGATCAAAATTTTCAGGACTAGCAACACCATTTACCTGTTAAAAAAAAATGGATTTGATAAAAGGAGATGAAAATATACATGAGTTGCTTCAGGCTCAGGCTCATGTTTGGAATCATTCATTAAGATTCATAAGCTCCATGTCACTCAAGTGTGCTGTTCAACTAGAAATACCAGATATCATCCACAATCATGGCCAACCCATGACTATTTCAGAGCTGGCTTTGGCTCTTTCTATACAGCCTTCAAAAGTACACTGTGTCTACCGCCTTATGCGAATCCTTGTTCATTCTGGATTCTTTGCTGAAAAAGCTGGCCAAAGTGGCAAAGAAAATGGTTACGTCCTCACCCTTGCTTCTCGTCTTCTCCTCAAGGACAATCCCTTGAGTGCAAGACCTTTCTTACTTGCAATGCTTGATCCAATTTTGATGAAACCATGGCAATATGTAAATGCTTGGTTCCAAAGTGATAATGACCATACAGTGTTCAGCACAGCTCATGGTAGTACCATGTGGGATTATACAGCGGTTGAACCAAGGCTGAACAATTTCTTTAATGCAGCCATGGCCAGTGATGGTCTTCTGGCGGCGAGCGTGGTACTTGGTAAGTGCAAGGGAGTTTTTGAAGGGTTGAAGTCACTGGTTGATGTTGGGGGTGGCACTGGAACCATAACCAAGGTCCTTGCCGAGGCATTCCCACAAATGAACTGCACTGTTTTTGATCTTCCCCATGTTGTCGCTGGCTTGCAAGGAAGTGAAAACTTGAAGTATCTTGGAGGAAACATGTTTGAGAAAGTTCCTCCTGGAGATGCAGTCATGTTGAAGGTATATGTATATGCATATTACTAAGTGAAAATTCTTAATTGGCGTAGTCCTTAAAATTAAATCCTAACCTTATTCTGTTAAATCTAATAATAATTTGCAGTGGATATTGCATGATTGGAGCGACGACGACTGTATAAAAATACTTAAGAAATGTAAAGAGGCAATTGGTAGCAAAGACGAGGGAGGGAAAGTAATCATTATAGACATGATAATGGGAAACCAAGAAGTGGATGAAGAGGCTATCGAAACAAAACTCTTTTTTGACATGCAAATGATGGTTGTTCCGGAAGGTCAAGAAAGAAACGAACAAGAATGGAGTAGGCTCTTTGTTTATGCTGGCTATAGCGACTATAAGATACATCATATTTTAGGCCTAAGGTCTCTCATTGAGTTATTTCCTTAATAATTCTCGAACCTCTTGTTACTGATCTGTATTAATAAAGCGTGGTGTTTTTATATGTTAATAAAGTTTGTCATCTAGCTGAACCCAAACTTAACTCAGTTGCATTTAACAAGTTTGGGATTTGAATTTCAGCACTTGTAATCCTTTCTCCTATTCCCTGGCTCTAACCTTCTTTGTGAAAAAAATAAAGTTGGTTTCCTAGCTAGCTACTTCCTATGTCTTTAAGGAGTCCTTGTTTTTCAGAAGATAGAAAAGTTAGATGTTGGAGCAGTTTTCGGTGCAATATTTCATGTTGGAATGTAAATTATTGGAGCACTTATCTGTTGCTGTAGATGTCTTTTAGACCTTCATTATTCCATGTCATGTGACTTACATATGGATCTTGTTACGTATTGAACTGTGCATGAGTATATTCCAGTTTCAGTATGTCCGACATACTGGGATTCAGTGGCTGGTTGAGAGTAATGTTTTGGAATTAAAGTATGGTAGCAGTGATGGTTATGATATCATCGACGTTGAATACCTAAAATTCTTGATTCTGTTGCTTTCTTGTGAGTTGTTATCTTAAGGAGAGTAGGGAGAAAGGAATGGAAACACCCTTTACTTTTCCTTTTCTTGGTTATGAATCATAAAAGAAAGCGATTCAATCATTCCTCCCTTTGCCTCAACCTCAATTTTCTTGTTCCCCAAATTGGGGGAAAGGAAAGGATATCAAATTTTCCATGTGAATGGCATTTACACTTTTATTCATTCATTATTTTCGGAACACTTGATGCACTAAAAAGGGCGTGGTTGTAAGAGTAAAAGTTATGGATCCATTAATTTCTTTTCCTCTCCTTATCTAGACATAAACATATAATTTTCAACAAAGCTCTTTTGGCTAAACAAGCATGGAGATTGCTAAAAAAACCCTGATGCTTTATGGGCAAAGATTTTGAAAGGGATTTATTTCCCTCATTCGTCCCTCCTTGAGAATCAAAAAGATATCGTGGATCCTCGTGGCCATGGAGAAGTTTATACGAAAGGATTGATGTCTTAAGGAAGGGAACCCACTGGAATGTGTGTAATGGATGAGACATTTTTATCTGGCAAGATAAATGGGTTCCGACTCTTCGATCTTTCCAAATCTCTTCGACCAGAACTTTGGAGAATGGTCCTACACTAGTTCATCACTTGATTGATCCTGCTAGGAGGGCATGGAACATTGGTTTATTGAAAGAGTGGTTTAGTAAGAAAGAGGTCAAAGCAATCAAGATTATTCCCATAGGCCACCCTAATGGGAGTGACTTTCTAGTCTGGCACTTCTCAAAGGATGGGAATTATTCTGTCGAATCTGGTTTTAAGTTTCTCCAAAGCTATTCCTCTCTTGGCTGCACCGGAAGCTCGAGTGAATGGTGACAGCTTGCTCATAGCTTTTGGAGGAGAGTGTGGGAACTGCCTGTTACACCAAAAGTGAGAAATTTTGTATGGAGAGCGTGCCATAATGCCTTAGCCACGAGGAAGAATTTGGTATGAAGGATGATTCCAGTGTCCAATGCCTGCTGCAGGTGTGATAAAGAGACTGAATCCCTTGAGCATATTCCTTTCTTTTGCCCGTTTGCTGAAGCTGTCTGGGGTGCCTCATCTTTCAACTATAGGCCAAGAAAGGAAGGTTTTGTGGGTTTCCTTAAATGGTGGAATGGCGTGGTGTGCGACCTCCCTGAGTTTGGCTCTTTTTGTGCGTCATGGCTGTTAGCTTGCTTACGCTGGTATATCTGGAAAGCGAGGAATGATTTTCTCTTCCAGGGCTTTAGCCTTTATGGGCAATCCGATTGTTACTTGGCAAGCTGCACTCTGGGACTTTCTTCTGTATTATGAGGAGCATGCTCTTCCTGCTCGTCTGTCTTTCAGCACAACAATCCCTCCTCAATGGCAAAAACCACCCTTCTCGTGGATAAGGTCCATTGCGATGCCTTATTTGACCCCCTTCTCAAAAAGGAAGGTATTGCCACGATTGCCAGAGATGATAATGGCTGTGCTATTGATGGAACCAACGCACTAGTAAATGCAGGATCTGCACCGGTGGCTGAAGCCTTAGCTCTAAGGCTAGGTTGCGTTCTTGTTGATAACAGGGGATGGAGAAATGTGATTCTTGAATCTGACAATGAAAAGCTTGTCCGACGTTTGAACTATGGTTTGAACCAAGGAAGCTGGGAAACTATGACGATTAAAGAGGAAATAAAGGTACTCAGAGCAGACAAGCAGACTTCCATGCTCCGCGATGGTCATGAGGAAGTTAATTGTGCAGCAGATTGAGTAGCTAGGATGACTCGACAGAGAAGATGCGCTGTAATCTGGGTTTTGTGCCTGCCGTCTAAACTATTGGATTTGTTATCATTGTAATGTTTTGATCAATGTGTTGTAGTCATGCAAGAAAAAAAAGAAAAAACCATATAATTTCCCCTTCCCTTCTTCATGCTGACCTTATCCAAATAGTTGGGTTTGTTTTTTAGGTGAAAACGAAAGAAAAAGAAAAAAATTGGGTTGAGAAAGGATAATTTTTATGGGCCTTCTGTCCAAAAATAACCAGACCCAAGTCCATGTTCATCCCGACAGCCAAGGGTAAATTAGTCAGTCAAACTCACTTCAATCTCCAGACAAAGCTACCTTTGTTACCCCTCCTATCTCTCTATCAAAAAGCTCCTTTTTCAAAACCCATTCCTGGGTTTTCTCCATCTAACGTTTCATTCCCTTTGAACAGCAACAAGAATCCCAAAAGGCCTACTTTCAAGGCTTCTCTATCAGCCCAAGAATCTGCTCACACTGTAAGTTTTTTTTTTCTTCTCTTGGGTTATTGAATTCTTTTTTTTTTCTTTAATTTATCTATTATTAAGTTGTCCATGATTGAAGGTGCTGTTGCATTAGAACAAAACCAAAGATTCATTGAGTTTCCCACTCTTTATTATCATCATTGTATAGAAAAAATAGCTGAAGATGGCAATTTGAATTGATAACAAATTCTTATCATTGTTTAATTGTTTATGGTATTATTAATTTTATAAAGTACTTTTATCAGGACGATGTAAAAATATCAGGAGGAAAAAGTTTGCCCAGTTTAAAGGCCATGATTAGAGTTTACAAGGAGGCTCTTCTCAATGGAGATGATAGGATTGTATCTGATATAGAGAATAGAATAAGCATTCTAGAAGATGAGAAGAATGGATTGGAAAAGAAAGTTTTGGAATTGTCAGCAGAGATAACCTCAGGGAAAGAGAAGTTTATCCGTTTGCAAGCTGATTTTGATAATTTTCGGAAACGAACAGAGAAGGAGATACTTACGACTAGGTCTGATGCCCAAGGAGAAGTGATTGAGAATCTTTTGCCCATGGTGGACAGTTTTGAGAGAGCCAAGCAACAAATAAAACCGGAAACAGAGAAGCAAAAGAAAATAGACACGAGTTATCGGGGTATATACAAGCAATTTGTGGAGATTATGAGGAGTTTGCAAGTGGCTGTTGTACCAACTGTTGGAAAGCCCTTTGATCCTTCTGTAAGAGATTTTTTTTTTTTTTTTTTTAGTGTTTAAATGCTTATGCATGATATTTGTTTTCTTCTTGTTAGTCATTGTAGGGTTTTGTTTGGTTCAGTCATATTGGAAAAATATACTGTAAGTGTTGGATATATATTACATGGTTCAGTTAGTTGCCTATCTGCTCAAGTTTTTTAGTATGGTACTGTAGTGTAGTATTCAAATCTTCAGTCAAGTAAACACTTTGGTTCAATCTGTTTTGTGTTTTGTCTCTGTTCAATTTTTCTTGGTTCAGTTTGCGTTTCGGGCTTAGTTTCTGTTTCAAACTCCACGTGATAGCCTGATCATTTTTTATGCTTGCGTGTGATGGGATGTCAAGTGAGTAATGCCAGATTAGGAAAGATCATGCAAGTTTAGGGTACATATGATCCGCTGAAACTTGCTTTTGACCCCCAGAGTTGGATGTCATGCAAGTCCAGCATCCAAAGAATGCCTATTTAGAATTGAGGGATTTAAGCTAAATTAGGGACATTGTAGATCTTGAATGAGAACATTAAGAAGCTAGGTGCATATACCTACTAGCTATATTTTTCTATCATGCAGTTTAGTTTTCATGTCTGGACCAGTTTGCACAAGTTAGTGTAAACATTCTTGATTTAGGCATATCCACTCCAGTATATCAGATTGAATATTTTCCTTCCATTGAGCCCAAAATGGAAATATACCATTCAGAAGTTTGGTTGAAACATAAACTTGTAGACTTTGGAGTGATGGTCATTAGCAAACTGAGATTTAGCCACTTGATATTCCCAGTGATTTTGTTACTGTTTCACTTGGTTTCCACTTGTCTGTTACAGCTACATGAAGCAATAGCTCGTGAGGAATCTCAAGAGTTCAAAGAAGGGATTATCACCAAAGAATTTCGTCACGGATTTCTCCTTGGGAACCGGCTTCTCAGACCAGCTATGGTTAAAGTTTCTTCGGGCCAGGTAGTAAGCAAACAACTGTGGCCTCTGAAAAATCTTCTGGGCAACCTGCAACAACTGGAGTGGATGAATGATGATGTTTCACAGGAACAGTACTGACCATCTCATCAGTATGTGAAGGCTTTTGCTGTTGAATATATCCTTTGCTATTTTGCCTTTGAAATATGATCCCTTGATTTTAATGTTGTCAAATTCAGTTTTCATGGGCCAAAATTATTACTGTCAGACATTTCTGTTTTTGAAAGGGAAAAACACTTGTACAACTAAGAGTATTCTCATTAATTGATTTGTTAAAGTGGAATCTCTTTATCTTTTCACTTTTTGCCATCCGAATGATATTGGATGGGTTTACTTCGAAAGGTGATTTGATGTTTATCAACCCCTTAGCTGAAAAGCCATAGTTTCACCAAGCAAGTCAGCGGGCTGAAATGAGAAAATTTCCTTCGTCAGGCAGGGGATGGATCTGAAAATTTGTTTTATCTCATGTCCTTTAGATGTCCTCGAACTTGCTTTTCACTACACATATGCGCACATACACTAGTCCCTATGTTCCTGATACTGCATTTATCTGCAGGTCATTCCTCTTTAACTGAAATGTTTGCATCCATCACAAGCACACGTACGAAGAAGCTCAAGAAAGGTATTTTTCCTTTGATGCCATTGCCACTCCATGAATGCAATGAGCAAAGGTGATAGCATTCCACAGTAGCATCTTCTTTTAACTTCAGAGTTGATGAGACTAATACTGGCCTTACCCTCCTTGTTTTACCAAGTTTGACATTTAGCTTACATGCCTATCAAAAGCACTTGCAAGTTAGACGTTGCATTCAAAAAGCTCACAATTAGTGATAACAGTTATGTAGCTGTCTTCATAGTCTTAGAGTTCCAATGTCAGTCAGCACATGCCAGGGAGAATTACATTAAATGTAATCGAGCATTGTTCAAAACCTTCAGACATCACTTCATAATAAGGTTCTGTATCCACTTTCTGGCTGCCAACGGCTAATCTGAACTACCAAATCTCTTAATTTTTCACTTTCACAGGAAAGCTAATCTCAATGGCATAAATGTATACTGTCACTGTACTAAAATTGAGGTCATAACTCCAATTCAAATGGAACATGAGATGGGTAAACTTTTGATGATCATTATTCATTTTCAATAACCGAATTCTTTACAACTGCTGAAAATTTATTTACAGAAGGCAATGAAGTATAATGTCAATTCCTTCATTTACATCAAATGATTAACGAATTAGCATTTTGCTATTTGACAACTGATATCCCTTTCCCGTCCGTGAAGCATGAAGGATTGAAGAATTTCAATCTCCTGAGGCTCCGGACTGTCTTTTTTTGCATTTTAAACTGCCAGAATCGATTTAGGTTCCATCATTTGAAAACAGAGCTTTATGGCTGCTATCATCTGCATGGAGGTGTACTCATATTGTGGATGAGAATTGTATTAACACATTGTATTTCACAAACCAATTCATGGAAAGATTCATTCATCTATTTTCAATATAAGAATTGCCAAGATCATGGCCCACACAGGTTAGAGATGCCATTGCTAACTACGGGCACATGTGAAAGAAAAACTGACTGAACTCCAAGCCACTTTGACTACTTCAACATATTTTCTCCCTTTTCTCCTCTAACATTTAACCACACCTTTAGATAATTCAAACAGTGAGAGTGCCCATAGGAAACTCCTAAAGTAACGCAAGTAAAACAAACCAAAGAACAAAAGAAAACCTATAGAACCCCAAGCTTAATTCATATGATTCATGTAGCTATCTTCAAGAGATGGCATCTACTATTTTGGTGCCTATAATCTCTTTTCTTATTCTCAGACTGCGATTTTTTTTGTCAAAATAAAAACCTATAAAAGCAAACTACTACAAAAGAACACAATTTCAACCATTATACAAGCTTGGTTTTTTTTTTTTTTTTTTAACTAATCAATTGTGAAGGGTCTGCATAAGAAAACATAAAAGAATATTAAACTCTGACTCTTCCCTTCAACATGGGATAATGGCGTTTTCTTTATTTGACAAAATTCCTCTTTCAATGCATCCCATACAGTTGCAAAAGGAATGAAGCCGACAACCCCCAATGTAACATTAAATCCCCATTTACCAAATTACATCTTCCAAGGTCTAAAGCTGAAACATGAGCTAAATGCTTTTAACCGTCGTTGAAATCATAAATCTAAACCTAAACAATTCAATCAAAATACAATCTTTAACAAGTTTGAAATTAAACAAATTGATTAGACAAAGAGTTAATTGAGATTAATCAGAAGATAAATAAAAATAAATAAAGAAATTACCTATTGAGAAGTAGAATTATGAGCGTTGATGCTGTTATAATATCTGGAAAATCGACGAGGCGGCGGCTTTGCTTTAGCCGGTTTTTTCCTCAGACCGAAAATTTCTTGAACCAGTGGCACGTGAACCAGAACCAACTTCCATGCCAGCAACCACCCTATAAATTTAAATTTATACATAAATTAAAAAAAAAGGAAAAAGATAATTATCAGCCAAGAAAATCCTTAAATTACGAATATATTAAAAAAAAAGCGATTTTGAGATTAAAAAATTACAGAGTATAATGAAGGAGAGGACGAAAAGAATAGCTAGAACCGGACGGAATAATATAAAATTGAGATAATTCCAATAAAAAAGAAAATTCGAGGGAGTCGACGATGACGAAGACTCCATGGACGAGAAAAGGAGAAGCATCGAATTCGAATTGACGGACCTATGCAAGGAGAAAACCGTTTCTGTATTTATGCTGATTCTGGGCTGGGCTTCAATTTTTCAGGCCGGTCAGCCCATTTACATTAGCTGAAACTTGGAAGCAAAGAAAAGAAAAACAAAATTATAAAATTATACGTGTTTTTCCAAGCTTAAAACGTTTTAAATTCTTTTTTATGTGTAATTTGCTTCAATACATTATCATTTTCAAGGTTTCAGGGACTCAATTGAAAAAAAGAACACTTTTTTTTTAATGGAAAGTTCTGTTTTTGCTTCAAGATCGAATCAACCAAGGATTCGTTATTTCCGTTGTAATTGCTCCAGAAACTGTTGCCGTTGTTTCTGTTGCTTTCCACCTGTTCTTAGGGCTGAAAGCTCTTCTCCCACACCCTGAAAATGTTTCCCCCCATACATTCCAAAATTTCAAAATTTCCCCCTTTTTTTAGGGTTTCAATGCATTTATTTCATTCTCAATCGGGTCTGTCTCTGAGTTTTAGTAAAATTTCCATTGCAGACGATTCGATTTCGCTCCAAATCGATACCAGCTTTCGCTGATTTTCTTTATAGAGCAGCTCAGATTACGAGGGCTGTTCAGAGAGATGATGGAAAATTGCAGAAAGAGTTTCTCAAGGATCTTTACAATAATAAAGATGTTGTTGATCTCCGGAATTGGGTTGAGGTATTGCAATGCCAGGATTTGATACTTGAAGATTTATAATGGCCTGCATGCTAACTGACATCATTTCCTTTACTGCTCTGGCATACCCATACTTCTTGGCAATCCAGTTGTTCTTATCTATCCATGTTTTCCCATTGAACTTGTGTAAATTACAGAAAATAGGTCAATGGTTCTGGATAAATTTTATAGAAATCACTTTGCTCAAACAGCTGATTTTCAATATGGCAACAACCTTAGCAACAAATCCAACCATGTTTGCTATGTGGATTGTCTAGTTATATTTTGCCTACTGAATTAGTTGACATTTGGAACAAGGTAAACAACCACTTTAGCTATCTGTTGGTTTTAATTTTTTTTTCTATAATAGTTCATACTTTTCCCTGCATACCATGAAATTGTCTCTGCATTTACTTAAAATAGTTCCTGTTGTTCTTGGGATTTTTATTTTTGTAGTAGCTGTTGTTAATGTCTAATTTTAGTAAGCGGTGCAAAGAGGAAACAAAAGCTGAAAACCTAAAAAAAAGTTGCTTAATAAAGTAAATGAAGAAACATGATTTGGGGTGATAACGTGGGGCTTGGGTGTCGTTGAAATGGGTAATGATCTTTGCTCAGTACGTAGCCCATAGCACACTTCGAAAAACATAATTTTCTGCTACTGCTACTGTTGGCAAAACTTCGTGCTGGCACGGCTAAAACTCTGATTTTTGTCTGTGATGTTTTTTCTATGTTCCCCCCATTATTTTATGCTTTTATTTTATTTTGTTTTTAATTAAATTTATTCAACCTCCTATCATGGAACCCTTGAAGGGAGGCAAGGCATGAATTTCCGGCAGGGACAAAAGGCATGAGATACGGTTACAAGTGAGAAAGTGACACCCCGATATTTTTCTTTAGTTTTACAATCCCACTGACCCCCCAAAAAAAGGGCAAAAAGCCAAAAGAAAGAAATTGGCGACAACAGAATAAAAATAAACTTGGGAGAAAGAAAGAAAGAACGAGAGAGGGACGAAGGGACGTGTCAGAAAGAGGGAATGTGGTTGGAAGCTTTCATCGTCAACTCCATTGCTTTCAAAGTTGAAACCCGAATCAGACAAAAGCTTCCTAAGAGCAATGAAGCTGCTGCTGCTGCTTTTAAAATTAAAGCTAACCCAAGAATCTCACAGTCCTCGCCTACAATCCTAAGCCCCCCCTTTTTTCATTTTTTTTCACCTCTAAAATGATTAGTCATTTACTATAACGACTAGAGAGCACCCCTCTTTTAGTCTTTTACATGTGTATAAAATACCATCGGATCAAGAGGGAAAGACACTTTCAAAATAAAATAAAATACCTACTGAATATTTAACAACAATTCAGGATTTGACTCTGATATTTTCCTCATTTAAAAAAAAAAATACTAACACACAGGAAGCTTCTATGCCCTTTTTTCCTTGCAGGGTAAAAAACAACGAAGAGGAATTGGAGGCTGGTTTGCCCTGCCTGAGAAAATTACTCTGTTTTGCCCGCCCCCTTCCGTCTCTGGGTTTTGGGGAAAACAAACTACTATGTCCACAGTAGAAACAATGAATGCATGAAGAGAAAAAATAAAGAAAATTTTTTAAGCGGAAAAAAAAAGGAAAATTAGAAGGAAGAGAAGGGTTAAAAGGTACAACAACCCCCAACACTGATTCCTCTACCTAGCTTTTTTTTCTTTTTTTTTCAACCATCCTACTCTCTCTCTACCTATGACTGCAAAAGTCCAAGAGCTTCTTCCTCCCTTCAACAATCTCATCAAAGAAATCATCAAGTTGTCCAACAATATTCTCAACACCAGATCTCAACACCCCAAAACACCCTTTCAAATTCTCCACTCTTTCCCTTGTCTCTCCCACCTCTGTTTCCCACTCCTGCACGCCTCCTTGTCCACACCTCCTCTCCAGTTCCCCTCTCAGCTCTTCCATGGCCAACTTTGATCTCCTAAACTCGTAAAGCAATATCCCTGGCCTCCCATTGATCTGGTTGATCTCTGCTGCCACTCTTTGCTGCAATCTTGCTGTTGAGATCATGAAAGCTGATCCAAAAAAAAGACACCCTTCGTATCCTCCTCTTAAGAAACTTGATTCTGGCCAGCAATAAACCAGCCCGTACAGCAAGATCATTAACAGCAATGAGCTGACATTCCTCATTGCATATAAAGCTCCTCGGAAACCACTGAATCCATTCAGCTTTGATTCGATAGGAACCTTCTCGTCAAACCTTAATGACAGTGGTTGGATTCTTGTTTCCATCAACGCCCTGTTCTCTTCTTCCAATCCCACAGCTTCTCTATGGCACCCTGAAATTGCCCGGATGACCTGTTTTCAGTCGTTAAAGAAAAATCAGAACACGAATTCAATGCTTTACAATTAAAAAAAGGGACTTAACTTGGGCAGTAAAGTTGTAAGCTTTGGGAATTAATGACCTGTCTGGAGAGCTGCAGACTAAGATGGCGATGATTACCAAGAGAAGAAATGATGTTAAATCCAGCAGAATAATAATTTTCCATGCCAGAGATGCCTGATTTAAGGACATGACAAGCTTCCCAAAGTTTTGAACTTTCATCCATGTATTCATCAAGCCACTTATCACCAACAGGAAGGTGGAGTTTTTGGACAAGGAGGAGTAGATGGGAATGGAAGGATCGGAGAAGGGAAAGCACCCTTTGAAGGAATTGGATTGACATGAAGTTATTAGAGAGATAGACACGTTCAAGATCATCTATGCCACGAGTAAGGAAGGTGTAGAATCCACTGACTGAGCTGGTGGAAGATTGATCCATTGCAAAAGAAAGAAAAAGGGAAGAGTTTTAAAAGTGAGGCTAAGGGGAGTTGAAAAGGTTATAAAGAGTAGGATATTTAAATGGAGAGGAAATAGGTATAACAAGGTTATTTGGAATAATATCTCAAATCTTATATAAGATTTATGTAAAATTATTTAGATATTAGGTGATAAATAAAAAGATTAATAAATTTTTTTTAAAAAAAATTATAATAGATAAGGTTATATATTTTTAAATAAGTAAAATTTCTATAAAATTAAGTGTGAAAATAATATTTTAAAAAATTATAAAATTTTATTGGATAAATTCAAATTTATAGATATTGATTGAAATTGAGATAAAAAAATAAAAAGATTCATAAATAGTGATTGTAATTAAAATTGATTTGTTGTTATATTTATAATTTTTTATAACTAATAAAATTTTTTTATTCATAAATATAAATAAATTACAATAAATTACATTAAATTATTATTATTTATATAATTGATTAATCATGTTTTTATTTTTTTTATGTTTAATTAATAAGATTTTTTTTTAATAGGAAGGAGGATGGAGGAAAGGAAAAATGGAATGGAAGGGAGAGAATATCTTAGAAGCTCGGGTTTCTAAGGTTGAAAAGTACTATTGGGAGAAATGATGGGTGTTTCCTATAGAGGGGAAAGGATGATTGGTAATACGCCATTTTCATTGTTTAATGGGCAGAAAGGAAAAGAAAGGAAAAAAAATTATTATAAAGAAATTTGAAGAGTTAAGAAATATATTAAAACAGGAGGAAAGAAACTCTCAAAGAGGAAAACAAAATAATGATAGAGAAAAGAAAAAAAAAAAAAAAAGGTTGGGGCCAATGCCCCATAACTGATAGCCCCCACCCGACATGAATTTTTCACAAACTCCCTTCCAGTTTCTTCCTTTTTTCAGTTTGTTATCTCCCCAAAATTTCCAGCTTTCTAAAGTTGATATGTTCCTATTCAAAGAGAGAGAAAGAAGAGGGTATTTTGCAATTTGAATAATAAATGAAGTTTGGCAATTTTCTAGGATGATAGACTATATGAGTTTATTGGGTTATAAAAAGTTTGACTGATTGACTCAGATTGTGCTGCCCATCCCTTCCAACTTCTAATCCATTCTTTCTCAGTTTCTTCCCATTTTAGAATTCAGATGGTTGAATTGAGTGCTCCCTTTGGCTGCTTCCCTTCTTTGTTTTCTTTCTTTCTTTCTTCCTCGAGCAACTGACTTTGGTCCTTCACGTCACCCTCCATTCTATTGAAATTTGTGGGTTTTATTTTTCCTAGATTTTTTTTCTTTGATTTTTTCAAAAGAATGGGGGAATTGAAATGATGAGGTTCCTTTGTATTTGTGTCTTTTTATTTAACCTTCTACTATGCAAAATCAGTCTTTTTAGGCCAATATTACTTTTATTCTCATCACTTTTTTTTTCCTTTTTGGACAAAATGGATGATGATTTTCTTTCTTTTCTTTTTTCTTTTTCAATTCAATGAATATTATATATCTTTAAATTCATGACCTAATCAACACCGTCGCTTTCACCAGCTTTAGGGCACATCAAACGGCGGATCCTAAATAAAAAGATTGTTTTGTCGATTGGTTTACTTTGATTACCTTAATATACAAACCAGAGAGAGTTAACCTTTCCTGCGGAGTATACCAAAGCTAATAATTTTTTTTTTTTTTGGTTTGAAGGAGGTAGAGTCCTATAACAAGGAGAAAAGGGGGAGAGGTTCAGGTCGAATCCCAATTTTGTATCTTTTTAAGAATTTTTTTATCACTAAATCAAAAAATTAAAGGCATATATCAATGTTAATATTTTTGGCCAAAAAAAAATTCTAATACTATGAAAGAAAAATAAAAAAAAATTAATTTAATATTTTTATTAATAAAAATATTTTATAGAGGAAAGCATTTGTTTTACTATTATTATGATCATTATGCTATATATAATGTGATTTAATGGTGTCTTCATAAAAATTCACATCACTTGCATTTATTGTTTCAAGTTCTATACAAATTATAATTTCATCCCATACTCTTGGACAAAATTTTCGTATATTCAAATTTAATAAAGATATAATATGGATTTATCTTAGAGTAAACTTTCATGAAATCCATATGGACAGTATGCTAGTTATTTCATCTGTTTTAATGCAATAATAACACATAGATAATTAAAATTTAATCAAATCCCTAAATCAATGGATAATAAATAAAAGAATATTTGTTATTATCTAATTTGTTTATCTTGAATTTAAATAATTATAAACGAATAATTAACGAATTTGGATAAGAGATTTATTATTTATGATAAATTTAAAACAGATATAAATAATATCTCCTGACTATCTAATATCTAAATTATTTTAAATTTTAATAAATAATAATAGATATTCAAATTCGTTATCTACTAACATATATAAAATATATAAAATTTTATGCTTTGTTGAAAATTTTGGATCTTAAAAAATAATATTTATTTATTATTAATTAAGAGTAAACTTAAATTTTAAATTATCTTCTTATTTATTTTATACTTTGACAAAAAATTTAATAGATTTGAACATTTAAAGGAATAATACTTATTTAAATAGATTCGAATTTAAATAATGATATTAAATTTAAATGAATATTATAAATTTTAAACAAATTCTAATACAAATATTTTAAAAATAATAAATATCCACTCTCCGTAACCATTCTTACCTAAAAGTAATTGATCGTATACAGAATGTGAGCATCTGTATATTGCTCAAATAAAAAGATAAAGGAATTGATTGCGCCTTCTGTGGTCGGCTCATCCCTTATTGCATCACCTCCGCTATTTTTTTTTTCCTTTTACCCTATTTATTGAATCAACGTAAGATTATTTTTCAATGCTGATCTGTCGGCCATTCCTCTCCTTTTCTTCTTTCCCCTTCAAAAGAGATCTCTCTCCTACTCTCCTTTCTTTCTTACTTTTTCTCTCAAGAAGCATTTTAGACCCAAATAAAAATAAAATTTCTCAAAACTACCTATTCATACTCATTTGAAGAAAAAGATAACAAATGTAAATATCTCAAGTCCCAACATCTATGGATTGCTATAGTAAAAAATGTATTCACTTTTAACATATTGTAATGGATTATAGATGTTTGATCACCCAAAATTTATTACATTTGACCAAAATAAAGTGATAATGTTTAATTGTCCCTCCTTTTAATCAAAATCAATAGAATGTACAAGGGGATGTATTTTTTATTTTTTTTTGCCTTTGTTCCCTCACCATAATTTTCTTGAGAAGCAAATTAAAAAAAAAATAAAGGGTTTTAATTTACTTAATGATATGCATGTTCTTTTTCTAGATGGGGGACCAGAAATCTTACTTATATTTGATTATGTTTCGAAAAATATTAAGAAAATAGTGGTGAGTAGGGTGGTCGTGGGTTTTTGGAGAATGAGACATGTTAAAATAGGATGTTGGTCTTTTGAGATTTTCATTGGAAAGTGAAGAAGAAAGAGGCCAAGAAACTTTGTTTAAGGGCATTGATACAACCGCCCTCCCTTTAATTATCTTTAATCTAGGACGAGAAGCACACCCTTTAATTATGGAATATACCACACCACCTTCCCCAATCTTATTGTTACTTAGAGGAATTATTGTATCTTTTCAAATTAGGAGTTTCTTGCTGAAGGGAGAATTGTTGATTACCTGTTAAAATAACATTAGATAAGAAGTTTTTGTTTATTATTTTTTTATGTAAGAAATTAGTTTGAAGTATAATTGAAAATTGATACTTTTTAGAACTTAAATGTTAAGCTACTCATTTGGTAGAGAGAAAGGCTCAAGTAATATTTAAAAGGAGCTTGTCACATAATTTGGTTCAAATCAACCCCTCCGTATAGCAGCCAATAAGTTTGTCTTATGGAGCAGTCTTATTAATTATTTGGGTTTTTATATTTATTTGATAATATGTTGATATGTTCAATTTAGGCTTTATTGAGATTACAAACAAAGCTTTGACCACTTTACTTCTTTAATACTATTTTTTCTTTTTATATATTTGAAGTTATCTGATATTTTCTGATCAATAAAATTAAGATTTCAGCACACAATCAATAGATTAAAGATAATTAGGAATTTTATTTTTGAAACTTATAAAAAAAGTTATAAATTAAAAGAGATTAGTGTAATTATTCCATTGAATAATGCTAATACACATTAAAACTTAAAAGTTCTATTAACTCTTTGAAAATTGGTTAAGGTAGATAAGAGGATCATAAGAGTTTTTTTTTTTTTCTTTTTTCATATAATTAAAGCAAATTTGACTTGAAAATGTGGTTCAAAATCAAATTCTCCTGCCTAATGCTTAAAACAATTACGCAAATGAAAAGATATTAAATAGTTTTTCTCTTTGTGGGTAGGGACGAAATCAGTAAAATCATAAAAAAAAAAGGGTCAGAATAATAAACCAAGTTGGGAAGGAGGCCGAATTTCATATTAAGGGGTCGGAATAATAAATTATTTAATATTTTCAAAAAAATTTTTTTTGGGGAGGGGAGCATGGCCACCCACCCTAGATTTATCTCTGTCTGTGTTATTAACTTTTTTTTTTTTTTTTAAAGTATGGTATTAAATTAGGGTGAGGTCAAACATTAGAATTTATCTTAACAATATTCGTTTTAATAAGATAGTTTCATCTTTCATTTTGTTTTTAAAATAATTTCTTTTCTTGGAGCATAGCAACTTACAAATTTTTTGTTATAATCTTATTATTATCACAATCATAGAAAAAAAATATAAGGGTTCATCACTTATAAAAATAGACTTTATATAAAATTTTAATAAATCTCATATAATTTTGAACTGTGATTGATTAATTGTATTACAATAATTATAAACGAAATATTCTCTTTCTTTTGAAGGACAATTATTGATGTTCGGTTGTTAGCGAGAATTAGACTCGAATTAATTGATAATTAGTGATATTTTTTATTACTCCTCAACTTAAAAATCTTTTCAATTCATTATTTGGAATTAAAACCATTATTTATATTCATATTATAAAAAATTAATGTTTTAATATGACCTAATTCAACCTTTCTTAATCTCTATAGCTTATACATGAAAATAATTGACAGGAATATTA